TGACGGAGAAAAGAGTTTCAAGTATCTCAGGACGAGACTGCTGCCGAACGGAGAGCCTAAGGATGGCATTGCTTCCAGGATCGATGCTGCTCGCCGTGTTTTCTCAATCTTCAGAATGTGGCTATGGACCGGACGCGACACATTCATCACCACGAAAATGCGTACGTAGCAGGCATCCGTCCGGCCGGTTCTCCTCCCTAGTTGTTAATGGTGGGCTTTGAGCGTGGAAGACGAGCGAAGACTGGAGGTATTTCATCCCCGTTGCCTGAGGACCATCCTTCGAAAGAAAAACACCAACTTCATCTCACACGGGACAGTCTGCATTAGCTGCGAAAATTTCGTTAGGATATCTCAGATCATCCAAAAAAGACCACCAAAGTTGTTTGAGCAGATTCTCCGTCTTCCGCCCCAGTTATACTGCCTCGATCCGGCACAACTTTCCATTTGGAGGCGTCGAACAGCATGTAAACTCAAAACCTGGCTACACACGGTACGTCAAGACATAGAAGCGTTGCTGGACCTTCGGTATTCGGCTTCCGTCGCCGTAGAAAGGAATGGGTTAAGCCATCTAGATCCACTGCTGTAAATCGTCACACATGGAGAGGTGCAATACGTGGGAACTGTTGTAACGGAAGCCCAGGCCCAGATATAACCACCCAATAACGCCCTATGTGAGTCCCCAAAGGAAGAACAGGACAAGAAGTGTACAACAGCAAAAGTGTTTTAGTGTAAGCGGTACAACATAGTTAGGACAAAAAACGCGTGTAACACGATATCCATCGAGCCAATCAGTTTCTCTCCCGACGTAGTCGCCGGTAAGATCGGTTAGTGACTCAGTGACTGAACGTAGCTTGAAATTTAAATTGTCGATTGATTGACGGCTTGTGTACGTTCGCCCGTGTAGGCCGATCGACAGCCTGCTTTGACTGTGGCTATTGCTTGCAGGCTAAATGCTTGCTAAGGCTGTTCGTTAGGCCGTCCTAACAGGAACCACAGCAGACGCGTCTTCGTCATGTTCCCACCCGCCCTCATGGCGGCCAAGTTCTGCTACATCACTCTCCCTACGGTGGATCTATCTCTCCTCCTCTCCATCTATGTTTTTGATGAC